TAATAGGACTGTCAATGATCAACTCAGTAAAGGGATTTCAGCAACCAATTACAAATCAATAAAGAGGTACTCTATTATCTATGGATTATACTGAATAAGACTGAAAACTAGAAGTCTTAAGATCTATCTACTTTCTTAAGCTAGTACTGATATTGATGGTGGCTTTAGACAGCATAATTAAGTTATCGGAGGGATGATTTATGCTATTGGCTAAACAGAGTACTTAACACTACAAAAGAGTGCCGACATTTACTATGCTATTAATCCACCTGTAGTCTCTATAGACTTCACCTATGGCTAGATTATTGCTATTGTTCAGGAACATTTACTCTACAGAGATTATTCACAGCAAGTTTTCAAGGACATAAAATGCATACATTTGCTCATCCTTTTTCTAAGCAGGTATTGACTAAATACCACATCCATTAAAAGCTCAGGTAAATATAGTAACGGTATTTAAGGGCTTTCATTGTGTGATATCAGAGTTAATGAGTCTGACAGCATAATTCATTAGGAGATAAATAATGTGAAAGTAATAACGAACGTCTACACAAATAACTTTGAATAGGGCTCTGAAAAACATGACTTATATTCGGATATTAAATGTGGATCCAAGACCGCAAAAGTATAAAGTGAAGCGGGAGAGGGAAGGGAAGAGAAGGGCAGGCAGATGGAGCCACATTTTAGTTTTTTCCTTAGCATTTTGTCTATTTCTGGGACATGCATTGAATCCCCTCATCTGGACTTTTCAAACACAATACAAAGTTATGGTATAAAGTATTTTTTACTTTATTATTGTCTTGTTTATCTGTTTCTGGGAGCTTTGTATACGGCGGAAAAGGCGTGATACCAAATGAGAGACTATGAAATGTACAGTTCTAAAATTAGCAAATCTATAGTTTTGATTTACTTATGTGCAAATCTATTTTTAGAAAAAATAGTCTTGGGAGTAGTAAACTACTGTACTGTGTGATTGACTGTGAAAACGACGACTCCTCACACAATAATATCAATGAGGTTGATTTTCAGTGGCGGATGCAGAAATTTAAAATAGTGGGCCCAGGGATGAACTTCACAGATGGATGCTCTAGACACTAGTCTAGACCACATCACTTCGCCATGGTTGGGGCTGCGGTAAGAAAATGTAAGATAAATTTCCTCTTTTCTCCATTTTGGTTATAATTTTTGAAAATTCGGTTGGGGGAGGGGATTACCCGCTCCCACTTGAAACCACTGATTTCAGATAAATGTTTATGGAACAATAGTGTTAAAACTAAAAGAATGATTCAAAAGTTCACTGATATTTTCACATTTTTAAGTTTTTCTTTTTTAAATGTATCTAATTTTAATGTTTCGGTATCACTGTAATAATTTTTTTTGTATCAATCATCTTTTTGTACTTAGTTACATATTTTTATTCTCTTTGAAGGCAAACTTAATGTAATTTGAATTACAAATTAACATTAAAACATCAACCAAGCATTTTACCTATTAGTGTTTTTAATGTACAGTATCCAATGGAAATTTCTTATGTACAGAAACTCCACCACATGCATCTTCAGCTAAAAAGTCAAATCTGTATATTGTTACTGTAATGATATGGTTGATTGTTAATTTTAGAAATGTTTTCTTCAAATACATAAGAAACAAACAGAGAGGTAGTAAATAAGGGTCACTTCCTCTTTCAATAAAAATTAATTTAAAGAAAAACATAATGGTGACACCTGGAAATAAAATCATGTCTGTGGCGGAGTCCACCTGTTAAGATACTGATAGGTCAATGATTAAAATAGCAGAAAAACAAACCAGAATATCCTGAAAACTGACACATGAAATTATAAAGATCTGCAAAAAAATAAGCAGAACATAGATTTGTGTGAACTTCACCACTTAAAACGCAATCGAGTCTGACGTAAATGCTACAGAAACTGTAATAACATGACTGATGATAGGAGGGCAGGAGTTTAGCAGTGGTTACTCAATTTCACTTTTTCTCTCCTTAGCAAATTAGATTTAAGTACATTAGCAGATTTCAACTCTTAATGAAATACTTGCCTACAGTAAGTGAAGAATCAAATGCTTGTTATTTGAAAATAGTAACCATAAAAACACACATACCTTAATGTGTTTAGATTATTATTCTCTCTTATTTTTTTTTTTCAAGGGGTAGGGGAAATTCTTTTCTACTGTATGAAATAGTATACTTAACAGATTCCTACTACTTCAGTCATTTATGTGGTGTTTAGTACAAAGCAACACAAAAAAAATAGTTTCATACTAAATCCACAATCCCATTAAAGAGAATTTTAGGTGTGCGATGGTGTAAGAATACAATCACTCACCTCAAATCACAAGCCCTGAGAAGAAACTGTGTTAAATCTTGGTTACATGGAAAGGTGATACTGTAGTACTTGATGTTTAAAGTACTATAAAACATACTTAGGCCCTACTTTACTGTAACTTGCGAACAATAAACCGAACAATTTTAACAAAAGTTTTAATATAAAATTTTAACAAAAGTTTTAATATAAAATTTTAACAAAAGTTTTAATATAAAATTTTAACAAAAGTTTTAATATAAAATTTTAACAAAAGTTTTAATATAAAATTTTAACAAAAGTTTTAATATAAATTGTTTGATGTTTGAAGTACTGTAAAACATACTTTACTGTAACTTGCAAACAATAAACAGAACAATTTTAACAAAAGTTTTAATATAAAATGTAGAGGCCTGGAGGTATTTAGGCCCTACTGTATTGTTTAGAAAACATTTTTTTCAAGTAGTTTTTCTCTACTGGTGCCTACAGCCTACAGGTACTGATCCTTGTACATATCTGTATGCAATTGCAATACTTCATGCTATTTGGGAAGAATTCCACCAAAGCCGCTAGTGCAAGCTCAGTGGTCTAGTGGTAAAAGATACCAAGCTACTAATTCTGGAGGTCATAGGTTAAATTCCAACTTCTATCACAATTATAAGTGAGCATACCATAAAGTGCTATAATAATACATAAAAATGGAAACAATGATAATTTTTGTTGAGCTTTCTTGATGCAAATTTCTGTTTGTGATAAGGCCAATTAACAAAAGTCCTTTGTTTCCCGTCCCCTCCCTCACCATTTTTTGGACCTGCATTAATTTTTTTTATTATTTGTTATTTTCAAAATTTTGGGGGTTTTTTTTACATCAAAAATGCAAAATTTCAATTGCTGATACATTTTTTAGTTTACAAGTGCATTTTCAAACACAAAGACCATAATAACAGCAAGAGAAGCAATGAAAAAACTATTGAAAAATTGTTTACAACACATTTTGCTTTGCAGAACAGTCTTTGTCATACTGTATTTTGACGAACTGTGAAAAACAACAAATCAAATAATAAGTGCCTCCCTCACCAACTTTATGAAAAACCCAGGACGAGAATTTTTTGTTACTTGGTCTAAATCTACAGTATAATATTTATAAATAAAGATGTTCAGTAGAACAGACTAAAATGAAAAAAAATAAATAAATAAAAAAAACTGAGAAAAAAAATAATATAACATGCAGTAGGTCAATTCAAATTCTGTTTCTGATTTCATACTTCCTATATAAAAGCAAATATCACATTTTCTTATATTTTGCTGGCAATACAGGTCAGAAAGTGACATGGAACTTATAAAAGAATGACACAAAACTGGCCAAATCATCTCCCATGAGTATGTTGCACCTGGGCAAGGGGTTACATTTTACGCTCTTTTGGATTTGTGCCCAACATAAGGATCAGGTGATCAGTAATTGATTGATCACTTGACTATCAATCAAACTTGATTGTGATTGAGTTGGTTTATTAACACCAGGTGGTAACACAAAAACACTGCATTGTGGCGTGTTTCTACAGGGAACAAGAAATGCCTGTATATTCCTGATCAGTAATTTATTGCTTAGTTTATTTTATTTTACAGTTACATCCACTAAAATGTTTATGTGGGTGGCTGTACCACAAACACTTTATCCAGACAGCATGATGACAATCCTTTGACCAATGATCTTCATACTTGCTGGCTGTATACACTACAACAAATATATTATTATAGATACTGTAGCTCAATACAGTAGTTTAGAATAAACTAACATATCTGAATTAATCACATAAAGTTCCAATATAATGCTGTGTTCCAGTTATCTACTGTAGTCACCACTGAGAACACAACCTGAGAAAAACAGCAATCCCAACACGAAATGCATTCCAAGCAACATATTAGAAAATATATACACATGCAAGTATTGCTATTATCTACAGTACGTAGTATTTATCGATTTCTGAGGCGAAAAATTAAGAACAGCCTACAATTACCTTTGTAGTGATGGAATAAAATTAGCCTATTGTTATACTTTGTAAAAACTATTACATATGAATATATGAATTGTTCAAAATTACATAGTTTTTCAAGACTTCAGCACAGGTACAGCACATGGACAGTTGATCACTGGAAGGCTTTTCACGAGATGTGAAGGTATGATCACTGTAACTGCAGGGTACACTGTAACGTGGCGTAAGAACTAATATGTTAATAACTGACAACCCCTTACATTTCACCAGTCACCATCCTGACCAGTCTGAATTAGTTAAGGCACTCAGAAGAGATAAACAAACTTCAATTGTGTATTTGAATAAGGCTTGTTAATGATCAGTGTGTGTGTATTGATTTCATTTTTTTGTAGCATAAAATACACTTCTGGAAATAAAACAACATTAAGCTATAGAGGGCTCACTTCATTTGATAAAACCAAGCTGAACTGGACACTAATTCTGAATCACAAAACCAGACTTTCTCTAAAAAAATATAATATGTTCACTTAAAAATTAGAAATAAAAACAGTTACTGACTGTAACTAGAGAGCTAGACTGATACAATTAAAAAAGGTAAATACTTTCAAATTTTAAGAAGCATCAATATTCTCCATGCATCTTGCTCCTGAAATCTGTGGACTATTAAACTATTAAGGTCATAACTTACCCCTTCCTGGTCCACCCCTTCCTCGTCCTCGACCTCCACCTCCTCGACCCCTGCCTTTTGAAACGACCTCTTCTTTGACCATGTCAATAACTTCATCTGGAATTCTGAGGTACTTTATTGTGCTACCACGTATGTAGCATTCTGGCATTCTCCAAAATCTATCACCATCCTAAGAAAAAAAAAGGAGAAAAAAATACTGTATTTGAATCAATTTTGGTTACGCCGCTTCCCTACCCCCCACCCCCAATTTTTAAATATTCAAAAATAGGTATCTCACTAACCGTTAGTGAGTAGTTATCAAAACACCCTTTTTGTGTCTTAGAAAAATTAGTTCAACAATCAACAATTTTTTCCCTTCAAAGTCTGGCTTCAAGGTGAAAATTTTCAATGAAAATGAGAATAAAATTAAAAAGCACTTTCATTGCCAATTAACAGGTACTGCCTATAAATAATAGAGAGCATTAAATTTAATCCTCTGGAGCTGGCTTAAAGGTTCAAGTTTTCAATGAAATTGAGAATAAAAAAATACTTATATTGCTAATTATTGGCTTGTACATTCTATAAATGATAGTGTTTCTATACTTTTGCAGAGAGGCTTAAATTTAAGGATGTTTGTTTGAACTTACTTGATCCTTTTAATATATAGTTTTCATTGAATTTTATAGGTTTTCTAGATTATCACATGACGTAAATGGATGTGTTTTGGATTAATTCAATGCATTACACAAAAAAATATTATCCTATTTTTTATTTTCATTTTCATCTGGTTTTTGACTTAGGTATTTCCTACCAAAAAATTGATCTATGCATGCTTCAATAAATAATCAAGCAGATTTTTAAGCTATGGTAATGCTAATATAGTATAAAACTTAGCTAACTAAGAACAACTTTTAGCAAAAAAAACTTTCTGTAACTTAAGTTAAATCCTAACAAAAATGTCTATCACAACCAGACAAAAATCCCCTTTCTGAGTGGGTTAGAAAATTGAAAGTTGCAAATGAGCAACCTACCAGGACAGATAATCCACATTAGGGCACACAGACAAAAATTATTAGATTAAAACTCGGTTTTCTTTTTTTTTTTTTTTAATCGGAACAACAGAATATTACTTCTTTTATCGAAGAGGGGACTGTTTTAATTTGGCAACAATATTGTAAATATTGTATAAAAACTGGTTAAATTTTATGTTTTTATTTAAGGAAATGTATTTTGAGCCACAAAATTGCATTGTTTTCTTTATGCTGTTGGACTAAATGATGCGGCAACATAAAAAAATGTTTATTCCCGCATCAATAATTCCCATATTTTTGACACAGGCGGGAGTGATAATCTAACAATTTTTTCTATGTGCCTTACGCAAAACTTTTTTAATACCTTATTTAACGAACTAATTTTTATTTTTAGAAGGGTGGGGACAAAATGTTTTTTTTTAGTACAGTACTGGCCAGAATTATCGCAAAAATCACAACGCATTTTACCCGTTGCCTTTGTGTTGCGTTTGCATTGAATTGCGTTGCGTTCACATTGCGTTAAAATGAACGTTGAAAATTTGTTGTTTATTTAACAAAACCGTGTCCGCGTGTCAGTTATTGTTGATAGTTAATTC